ATTAGGATGAAAGGAAGCATTGTGAGGAACCCGTAATATGTCTTATATGTCTTATGACATCTAAAGAAGCACAGATAGCCACGTTTGCCTGGTCAGTAACAATAACTGCTTACAAAAGCACAAGAAGATCCCAATCAAAGCCTGTACGTGTAATTAAATGGATTTGGTGCCCAGCGAGGGTCTGTCTGCAGGACCTGAGGCTACAGTATTCATCTCGAACTGAGCTGAGAGAGACAGCAGGCCCTGAGACAGCACTTTATGAGAGCTTGTGACGAGTGTTCTGATGACAGGTTGTCTCCCACGGAGGAAACAGAGCCATGGGTTCAGGTTTGGGCTTCAAAGCTCCTGGTTTAAGCTGATAATCGGAAGGCATGTGAGCTGGAAAATGTACGGCTGAATCAAAGACTTGATTACTATTATAGCAGAGGCCCTTCAGGCTAGAGGTGAAGATGATGGTAGCTTGCTTTCTGACACCTTTTATGTCCATTAGATGTTCGGTTACATCAGAGTCAGGGCTGTGGGCAGTCATTTGGTGAACACTCCTGGGGCGGATATTGTGTGTGTGTGTGTGTGTGTGTGTGTGTTGTTTCAAATGTTGGATGTGCTTATGAAGTGATAAGTGTGTGGAAATGTGAAAAGAAAAAAGGGGATATCTTAAAAGGAAAGCATTAAATATAAACAAAGTCATTTGCATTCATTATACTGTATAATGCATTTACATTACATTCCAAATTTACATTACATTCATTTACACTACCATTCAAAATTGTGTTTTGAAAGAAATTAATACTTTTATTCAGCATTAAATTCAAAATAAGTAACAGTAAAGAATTTTACAATGTTACAAAAATATGTCAATTACTGTTCTCCACAAAAATAAAAGCAATTACAGTTTTCAGCATTGATAATAAAAAGTTTCTTGAGCACCGAATCGGCATATTGTATGTGTGTGTGTGTGTGTGTGTGTGTGTGTATATATATATATATAAGTTAGTATTAAGTAGTGTTTCAAAATAGAACATTTCACAATGGAAAAAAAAGAAAGCTATAAACACCCTTCACATAGCATTTCTTTTCACTTCCATACCCGTTAAGTTGTCTCAAAAGGCACATATTCAGACCACACCATCACTGTGTGAGGAAATTTAATTTTACAAATTTAGATTTGCTTCTCAGATATGCTAGGGACCCACCAGGCCTCCATTTCGCCCCAAATTCTGTTCCATCTCCAGTCACACTCAGTGTTATAAAACAGCTGAAAAACAAACCTCAAATATTTACTCTGAGCTCAGCCATGTTCATTTCTGTCCTCGCCATATATTATATGATTATACCATGGAAAATACACTCAAATTTCAAGAAAGGCTTTGTTGGTAATTTTGGGGATTAAAGTGATGATAGAAGACAGCAAAGAAGAAATATAGAGCATATTGGTCGCACACAACCATGATTCCCTGAGGGACAATCTTTGCCTTTATTACATCTCTGGACTCACTATGTTATTTTCTCTCTCATTCGTTCTCTCTCTCTCTCACACACACACACACACTCAATCTCTGTGTTACTTAATCTGTGCCACAACACACATGGAATTTGTGAGACATGGAATGGGCTTTGCAAGGGCCTTCTCTCTCTCTCTCTCTCTCTCTCTCTCTCGCTCTCTCTCTCTGTGTTTGTATGTTTGTTTGCTTGAAAGGCTGATGAAATTCCTGTGAAACCTATAGCTCTTCCCTGGCCTTGTTGCTGTATAGACACATTTTAGTTGAAGTGAATTGGTAGTGAGAGCCAATAAAGAAGACATGTTTTTCTGCACACTCATTTGAGGACAGGAAATGAGAAGAGATGACTGGGAAAAAAACAGAGTGCTAAAAAGCAGCAGTTCTGCCCAGTCTGTGTCAGAGTATGTGTAGGAACTTCCTTCAGAGACCATGATGAGATCAGTTTAAGGCGGCGTGGGGAGGAGGGGTTGAAGGGATATTTCGCAATCAAGGAATCCCCAGGCTGAAACTGCCTGTGGGTGTTACTTAATCTGTGCCACAACACACATGGAATTTGTGAGACATGGAATGGGCTTTGCAAGGGCCTTCTCTCTCTCTCTCTCTCTCTCGCTCTCTCTCTCTGTGTTTGTATGTTTGTTTGCTTGAAAGGCTGATGAAATTCCTGTGAAACCTATAGCTCTTCCCTGGCCTTGTTGCTGTATAGACACATTTTAGTTGAAGTGAATTGGTAGTGAGAGCCAATAAAGAAGACATGTTTTTCTGCACACTCATTTGAGGACAGGAAATGAGAAGAGATGACTGGGAAAAAAACAGAGTGCTAAAAAGCAGCAGTTCTGCCCAGTCTGTGTCAGAGTATGTGTAGGAACTTCCTTCAGAGACCATGATGAGATCAGTTTAAGGCGGCGTGGGGAGGAGGGGTTGAAGGGATATTTCGCAATCAAGGAATCCCCAGGCTGAAACTGCCTGTGGAGAATTGAACCCTTCTGCTTCCCTCAAACACTACTTTAATATTAGCAGGAGACATTATATCTGAATGCTATAACAATCTATAAGTATCCTATTTTTGCACATATCCTTTCAGATTATATATATTTTTGTTTAACGGTATACTAATTTAGCCCACAAGGTAATTTAACATTTTTAACAACAGCCAACTTTAATATGTGTCCAAATGATGCTGCTCCACAGCCAAGAGAGCAGGTTATGACACATGATAAGATTAATACAGGGAATGTCATCACTCAAGACTCCATATTTAATTGATGTTTTAGGGAAGGGCATGAATTGCTCAGGGCCAGTTAGATGATGCTCTCTGTGAAAGTATATCTAAATATATACAGTATGCAGACGCACACATATATTTGTAGATATATTTATATAATCTGTATAAACTGATATATGTACAAATATTTTCTATCTATCTATCTATCTATCTATCTATCTATCTATCTATCTATCTATCTATCTATCTATCTATCTATCTATCTATCTATCTATCTATCTATCTATCTATCTATCTATCTATCTATCTATCAGTGCATGAATCTAGTTTTCACGATGTACATTTGAAATATTAATGTGGAATTTGCATTCTGTGATTCTATTAAAAATCTTATATTGGATTGTATGTAATAACTGTATGCATTATATGTATTTGTGGCATATGTGAAGGTTTGCATATTTGTTTCCAAAGTTGGCATTGGTTGAGACACTGTCCCATTTATTGATGGGAAGTGATATGGAAGGGTCAAAAGATGCCAAGATTCTGTATATTTTTGTAAAAGGCTTGAGTGAATTTGCCAATTTGTTGAGGTTAACTCCCAAATCTGTGGTTATTTGATATATTGGTTTTGGCTTTCGGCTTTTATTGAACTTCTTATTTGAATGTATTGTAGATACTGCTGCAACACTGAACTTTTGGCTCAAATAGTAAAAGTAATTTATCCATTTCAAAGAGGTGCTGCAAGTGAGTGATACTTTTTACTTTCAATATATTTCCTTTTATCTGTAATTTGTTGATTAAAAAGTCAGGATTGTAACAGATGGGTGTGTACGCAGGGTGCCAGGGTGAATTCTGTGATTTTATCATTCCACCAGTCTGTCAGAGTTGTAGATATTATAATATTTTGGAAGCAACTGTGTTTCTTGGCGTATTTACTGAGGAAAGATAAGTCTTGAATTGGGATTTCTTTGCATTTACATTTTCTTTTATGTCAAGCCAAGGCTGACAGAAGTCGGTGGGATGAATCCATTTTACTTTTTTAACACAACTGATTGGCTACGTAATAGTAACAACAGTTGAGGGCCTTTGATCCTCCCAGATTTTTGGGCTTCTGAAGAGCTATTAATTTAGCCTACTTTATTTTTTTATTTTTTTATTTAGTTTTTGTTTAATGTAATATGCAAAACCCTATAATAATTTATTATCTTTCTAGACAATTTCTAATGATTTAAGTTCAAAGCTGTTGTAAATTGATGATAAAACACACACCTGTGACTATAGTCTAATAATTATTAAATCTCTTTATTGAATCTAGCAGTCATAGTGCTGCCATTTATTAATGCCACTTAAGTTTAGGTCTCTTAAACGATTAATCGTGATTAATCACATCCAAAATAAAAGTTTTGTTTACATAATATATGGGTGTGTACTGTGTATATTTATTTTGTATATATAAAAAGACACACACATGCATGTATATATTTAAGAAAAATATATATATATTTTATGTAAAATATTTATACTTATTTATAATATAAATGCAAATATACTGTATATACACATGTAAATATATACGTGTATGTGATTGCATTTATAAATACATAATAAATTTAAAAAGTACACACACATCTATTATGTAAACACAAACTTTTATTTTGGATGCGATTAATCGTTTGACAGCATTACTTAAGTTTTTTGGGGGGGGGATGGGAGGAGTGCAAAATGTCCAATAATGACAATACTGTCCAATGGGTCTGACCTTGAATTTACTTTCTCGTCTCTTTTCTTCATCGAGTAATAATATGGTGAATTAAATTTTTTTTTATATATTGTTATACGTTCATCATGTTTTTGGGTTAGTTAGACTAAGCGAATCTGTCAGCGCTTGTGTGTCTCCACAATTAGCATACGAGTGCCTTCATTAGCACTACTGTGTCTGTATTCATTAGCGTGTGTGTGTGCGGCCCCTCTCTGATGGGGGTAAGGGGAGGACCTGTGATTGCTAAGTGTGGAGTCTGATCAAGGCTGACAGTATTTAACATAATTAAGAAAAGCTTCAGTCACAGTGGCATTAAATAAACACCTCACTGAGCGAGGGAGGATCTGATGAGAGGGAAAAAGGAAGAGAGAGGGAGGGAAGGGTCATTTCTCAGTCATGGGATGAGACGTGCGTGTTAGTCTTCTCATTACTGCACAGCTTGAGTGGCACACACTTCCTCTCTCTCGCTGCAATGTGAGCACACGCCTACACACACACACACACACACACACACACACACACACACACACACTCATACTGTCAAGGTAGAGCATTAACTTTTTTTTGACATGACTTAAACTTTCCTGCTTGGCAAACAACACTGTGCCTGTTGAAAAAAGGAAAAGTGTTTAAAGTACTCTACAATGATAGAAGTCACAGTACAGTCTACATAATACATAATACATAATACATGTGCCACCATTGGCAAGCGAAGGGGAAATCATTAGTACACTACAAGATTTAACAAAAAGCTACATGATGAAGGGGAAATAGTTACATCCGAAATTGCGTACTCTCTGAATAGGTACTACATTTGATTACAAAGAACTGTTTGAAAAGTATATAGTAGTAATACTGTAGCATGAATGAAATACAGACATAATATCTACAATCACCATGTTGCCATTGTCACATGACTTACGGTGTCAGTTGTATTGCTTTACTGCCATGCCATCCACAACTCCACTTTTGTTGCCTCATTCCATTAGATGCACACTTCAGAATGTCGACAGAAGTAGTAGGTCATCCAGGTACTTTTTGCCAACTGTTTTACAATATGAATACTATGAATTCAGACTCTTTTCACATACTGTTTTTTTAATCTACCATATAGTACGGAAGTAGGTATATTTGGACACAGAAAATATATTTTTAAATAGCTAACTTTTTAAGTAACTTATTATCTGTATATACAATATTTTAACTATTATATAATAACTACAATATTTTATATTTTAACCCCACAAAAACAGCATGGTAGTGATCTCATACAGACCTTAATAGAACTGCAGTGGAGTGAAAAGTACAATATTTGTCTTTCAAATGTAGTGCAGTTCAAGTCATAAGTTTAGTAAAGAATAGATACTGAAAAAGTGTACTTAAGTACAATACTCAAGTAAATGTACTTCATTACTGTCCACCTCTGGGAGACAGTTAGGACAGTGCATTCAATTATGTCCTGATCAGTAAAGCTGCTTGCGAAATACATTTTCCCCCTTTTTTTTCTTTAACATTTTTTTTATAACTGAGATCGCAATCAATTTTAAAACATACACGTTTTAGTGATTTCAGTGATGTGTCGCTCAGAACTATTCGTTCATTTTGATAAAATGTCTCAGAGTGATTTGATTATTTTGCCATTATATACACAACATCCTTTCGTTTGTAGACTATGAAACAGATATGATTCATTTACCTCCCGAGTCCATGTCTTTCGTTCATTTGTCATGTGAAAGCAGTATAGGTCATGTAACAACTCATTTTTCATCTCGAGTCCATTCTATGTCTTCTACTGGAATGGTAAAGTAATCACTTCTGTTTTTCATTATTAATCTTTGGTTGCATTATTCTGATTTCCTAATTTGGATGACATGTTCTGCGTTTCCCTATATAGGCCTAATGTAGCTACCATTTTAATTTAACTCTGTTCTGAAATGAATGAAATCACTTAAATAAGATATATTATGGTGGGCGATGTGGTCCAGTAAATAACAAGAAAACAAAAGATTGCTGATCTACATTATCACAACATTTGAAAAACTTGTTTCAAGGGACTTTTAAGTGTACAGTGACTCACAGTGTACATTGTGATTGTCCACTATGGAATCACAGATAGATTTGACTTCTCAACTTTACAAATGTCCTCTTCAATTGTCGGTGTCTTCGCCAAAGATTAAAGCTTTAGTAATCTGACTTCCCTTCTTCTCATAGATTCGGGGTTGTAATGGTGGATGATTAGAACCATATGTTCTCCTGCCCTGTACAAGCCCTGTAAAGATAAGACTATCACTTATATTCTGATAAAACAGACAGGATGACTTTCCCCTTCATGAATAACTCTGGATGCCATGGGATGTTTCGTTTCCCCATTTAAATCCTATTTGACAGATGGCTGAGGAATGCTGCATTGAAACAAATGAAATAATGGCTACATAGTCGTTTTCATGACGAAACCTTTTGCTTTCTGTACTTGCATTAAGTTCACTCTATAGCCTGGCTGGATCTTATAGACATCTTCTAAGTGAGAATTATATCATCACTTGCTCACCATTATGTGGTTCTTTCTTCTGAGAAACATAAAATAATATATTCTGATGAACATTGGAAACTAAACAACATTGGACTCAACCTATTAACTTCCAAACTTTTAAGTGTACAGTGACTCACAGTGTACATTGTGATTGTCCACTATGGAATCACAGATAGATTTGACTTCTCAACTTTACAAATGTCCTCTTCAATTGTCGGTGTCTTCGCCAAAGATTAAAGCTTTAGTAATCTGACTTCCCTTCTTCTCATAGATTCGGGGTTGTAATGGTGGATGATTAGAACCATATGTTCTCCTGCCCTGTACAAGCCCTGTAAAGATAAGACTATCACTTATATTCTGATAAAACAGACAGGATGACTTTCCCCTTCATGAATAACTCTGGATGCCATGGGATGTTTCGTTTCCCCATTTAAATCCTATTTGACAGATGGCTGAGGAATGCTGCATTGAAACAAATGAAATAATGGCTACATAGTCGTTTTCATGACGAAACCTTTTGCTTTCTGTACTTGCATTAAGTTCACTCTATAGCCTGGCTGGATCTTATAGACATCTTCTAATTGCATTTTTCTTGGATGTTAACCTCCAGCATATTGCAGAACTTTGATGTATATGGCGGCGAATACTGGGCAGGCGAGCAGTCTGTGGATGGATGAAGAAGTGTCTGCTAGCGTGACAAACAGCAGACATCCAGACACACACTCCTCCACTGCAGATACTGGAGGAACTTTCCTCTTTACCCACAGATACCCTGCAGACAAAGCAAAGAAGAAAAATTGAGGAAAACATTATGAGATACATATATATTTAGTAAAATTAAGCATGATGATATCTGGGCTGAGCCTTCAGATAATGGCTCATGGGAAGTCTGGAATAAATATTACTTTAGAAGTACCGAGACTTATCCTTCCTATGGCTCATAATTAATTTATTAATAAATACTTTGCACAACAAATTAAGCTGAGATAATTATTTTCCCTGCAAGCACTTAGGTGTTAATGGTTGATTAAGTCTTCATTACGGGTTAACTATTGTTTGACATGATTGCTTGTTTTGCCTCCGTTTTGTTCCCTCTTTATGGAAGTTGTGAGTAATTTTCTGTTCAGATTGTATCTGCGGCAGCACTTTGAGAGAATGAGCGCATTGACTTGGCAAAAACTAATTCTGTCAATCACTGTTAGGTGTGACAAAATGTCAAAGTGACAAGTAAATAAGCAGCTAGCGTTAGGTGAGGCATTAAAGACAAACACCTTGATTTCTCTCTTGTCATCATCAAATAATTATCCAGTGCATGCCTAATGTTATGGAAATGTGTTATTACGCCCACACAAATTCAGTAATGGGCATACAATCGATATCTAAATTGTTTCACAGCACACCATTAAGCACTAGAGGTTCTCATGTCACACTTTGCAAGGTGGTGAGTCTCTATATGTTCCAATCACGTGTCAAGGTACCCTAGGGATTTTTTTAATGTTGCGCTGGTCAATATTATTGTCATCTTGTATGTTTACTGACACCTAGTGGCGTGGATGAAGTATCACGTAAAAGCAAATATCATGTGATCTTAATGGGTTACTCCACCCAGAAGTGAGAATTATATCATCACTTGCTCACCATTATGTGGTTCTTTCTTCTGAGAAACATAAAATAATATATTCTGATGAACATTGGAAACTAAACAACATTGGACTCAACCTATTAACTTCCAATGTATTGACAAAGACACTTTTTCAAGATTTCTTCTTTTATGATCCACAGAAGAAAGTCATAGTTATGGAACAACATGAGGGTGAGTAAATGATGACATAATTTTTGGGTGGAGTGTCCCTTTAATATAATGTCCCCCATTAGATGACATCCTACACTGGAATAGATTTTGTGGTGAAAGCAAATACAGCAGTACACATTAGTTGATTGAAGCAGGTAGACCTTAAAGCTCTAACAATGAAGTGGATTTACCTTAGAATTGTTTATTATCTACAATATTGTCAAGTATCTATCTCAAAGTAGAATACATTGTAATATTTATTCAAGTACATTTTAAAGTATCCACCTTATTATCAATGTCAGCATGATACTTTTTGTGCAAGACTTCTGGTCAGTCATTTCTGGTTATAACTTACCAGTAGTTTTTAATCATTCAAAAGTACTATGCAAACATATATATTTGTCTTATCTAAAGCTCACAGAGCAACTCTCTGCTCTTATACTCGGTGTTAAAACTCGCTCACTTCTTCTTTTGGCAGAGGAGTCTGAGTGCTTCATTTGCAGAGATGTTGGCCTGGTGGGTGAAGATCCTCTGCGAACCTTCTGCGACTGTAAGAACCTTGTAGCTCACCACAGCTGTCTGCTAACCTGGATAAAAAAGGTACCATCCGCATTTTAAGCCAACCATACATTACAAAACCTTGGCTCGTCACCCTTTCAAGTTGTCATTCTGTGACTAATCTGGACAAAAGGCCTCAGACTGTAGCCAACTTGAAGCATGTGGCTGCCTAGATGTGTTTAAATCAATAAACAAAAGTCCTCTTGTCCTCTTCATATCATCACCACTCGGGCTGTTCTCCTTTCCCTCCCTAGTGCAGGCCATGTAACACACTATGCAGAATGTTGTTCTGTTGCATCTTCACAATTTTTCTTGTTAATTAAGACGTCAGATGGCCTGGTTGGGTGAGTGTTCTGTCTCTTGCAGGGGTGTTGCTGGACGTCTTTTGTCTTATAGCCCGAACTATGCATGTGCCCTCCTCTGGCTTTGCGCTACATTAAGTCCTGGAGGTGGAGGTGGTAGGGGGCCTCCCTAACCCCAGCCTCCCAGGGCAGACACAGTGTGAGTGGGCAAAGTGATAAATACACACGGCTCGTCGTACATCATCACTACACTCCAGATATCAATAGGCCACTGGAATGATTAATAACAGCCGATACTTCCTGTAGTTAGTTCTTTTTAATTAAACCATGCTTTGTGCAAGCACAAATGGATTCTACAGCAGAGGAAAGGAAACATTCTTAGAGTTTATGCTATCACCCATTAAAGGGATAGTAGCCTCCCTAAATAATGAATGAATGAATTATAACACTGATTTAAAATATATATCAAATTTGTCATAGGTGTAACACTACTTTGGAAATTGTCATTAGGACCATTATTTTTCCATAAGGACCATTATGTTTCCATAAAAATGGTGTATATTTTGATTGTACATTGTTATCGAACAGAATGAAGGATATTCTGATATAACTGATATAATATATATAAATATATAAATATATAAATAATGATACAAATTTATATTTATATATAATGATATAAATAAAACTGTTGATAAACTGATGATATATGATACAAAACTGATATAAATAATTTTAAATGATGATATACTTGACAATACATACAATTTCATTTTTTTATGTAATTAAATACTGCATAAGTAAAAATTATGTAATTGATGACAACAGATCAAATTTAAATATGCACAGGAATGAGATTTGAGAGCTATGGAGGGGAAAAACTTTCAGGGAATAATTACTTCCATTTTGGTCTGTTCCTCAGCCAAAGCTATCATATAACTTCAAAAGACTTGGAATATAGAGCACAAATCATACTCTGTAAGGGTATTTTTATGGTGCTTTTGTCATTCTGAGAACTTGACAGCCCTTGGTCACCATCCACTTTCATGCTATGGAAAAAAAAAGTGAGAGCGTCCTGCTTAACGTCTCCCTCTCCTAACATCAAGAGAGAAAATCATATGGGTTTGCAATGACATAATGGTGAGTAAATGATGACAAAATTGTTGTTTTGTCCCTAATAATTTCTGGTCACCTCTTTATGATTTCTGAGGTAAAATGACCAGGCGAATAAATACTAACAAATCCCACTGTATTTCAAATAATGGTCATAATTAGCTGGACCTCCCAGCAAGAAGCAACACAACAGCAAAGCTAAT